GGGGCGCGGCTCAAGAGCATTTCATCATGTCGCCATGAAGTCTTGAACAGGCCTCCCGAATGCTGAGTGACAGTCGCACTTGGCTTGCGAGGCACAAACAAAGCAGCTTTTGTCTTCCGGAGCTATATAAAGACGACCCGGTGGCGGATTAGCGTTTGCCCGCCAAGTGCTACGTGGCGAGCTGCAAACGCTTCTGTATCATGCAGTGGAAACCTCCAAAATAAAAAGTCAGACATCAGAAAACATGTCCTGGAATGCTGCATCACTGTGAGCAGGTGTTGTGCTTTTTCTTTGGTTTTTGTTTCACGTCGCAGACAAAACCGTGTGACTGCGCATGTTTTTGTCCTGGCTGCTCAGTACAATATGGCGAAAGTGTCCGAAAAGCTCAAAAGGATGTAATGTGCGCCGCAAAGAAGGAGTCTTATGATCTTTAAGGGCTGGGCAATTAATTGGATTTTTATTCTGGATTTTGGATTCACACGATCATAAAAACCTTTTCGAAAAAAAGCAATTCATGTCCCTCAGTGTGAATTAAGATATTTTATAACCAACCTTAGGAGGGAAGAGCAGGTATTTTTTTTTACATTTTTTGTTGTTGAAAAAATTTCATCCTATCACTATTTCACTTTGGAACACTCAAAACTGTCTCTAGGTGTGAGTGTGAGCGTGGATGGTTGTCCGTCTCTGTGTGCCCTGCTGGCAACCGGTTCAGGGTGTCCCCCCCCGCCTACTGCCCAAAGACGGCTGTGATAGGCTCCAGCACCCCCCTCGCAACCCTTGTGAGGATGAAGCGGACGATATAATGGATGGATGGACTATTTCACTTTGCAATGATTTATTTTTTGATTGTTCTTTCAAGTTCTATTTCAGTTTTTGATAGTTTAATTCATGACTATGTTTCGAAATCAATGAAGTGTTTATGGATCCGGATTTCAATGTCAATGAAAATAACTTGCATATTTTTTTTTTTTTTTCATAATCGTTCTGCCCTATGACCTTCTTTGCCCCTCAGGAGTCCTCTGGAAACTATTTACAAATATGAAAATGGTCTTTGTAGAGACCCCAACTTAAATATTTCTCGCATGTCACATCTGGGGGCTCTGTTGTTTCTCACTCTGGATATACGAAATATACACCAAAAAGCATTCGGCAGTAATATTTTCTCTTTAACAGATTTTTTTTTTTTTTTGTTCATAATTGACATGACTTTCCCAACTTTATAAACACACAAACTCAAAGCACCATGAGCATCTGCCTAATGGAACGAAAGCATGGACAAACCCCCCCACCCACCCGCACTCTTTGGATATCTTAATCGGCACCGAGTCTCACCACCTGCCCTCGTTTTACAGGTGGCCGCGGCAGATGGCGTCGTCCAACGGGCTGTGCCGCTACGGCGCCAGGGTGGACTGCTGCTGGGGATGGACGCGGCGATCTTGGGGTCACTGCCAGCGTGAGTGCCCATTTATGCCTGCTGTCGCCATTGTTGGAGGAGGAGGAGGAGGAGGAGGGAGCGGGCTGGCGAGGTGTCAAGCTGGGGTGGTAGAAAAGAAACAAAGCAAATAGATGCTATGAATGAATCACGAGGTGGCTTGAGCGTGAATAGTGTCGGTAAAGGGCTTGGAGAAGCATGCACGTGCCCGATGGTGTTTTGATATGGCAAACCTGGCGGTTTGCAACTGCAGTGTAATTGTTGGCTGTTGCTCGAGGTGGCAAAGGATGAAAACAAAAAAAAAATAAGACTGGTCTAAAAGTAGTCATTCGACTCCTGTTCCATAAAAGTAAACAGGAGTTAAAAAAATTAGGTTTTTATGGTCCGTTACGGACATTCACAGTTAGTTTTTTTCCTTTATATATTTTCTGTTATTCACTGAAAAACTCACTTATTCACAGTTTTTGTGCTCAGGCCAGTGTAATGTCTAAGATTAAAACTACTCACCTGGTGCCCTATCGTGGTGTCCTGATACGATGTTGAACTGAGGGGAGGAGCTTCATTTAGCCAGACCATAGCCTTGTCTTATAGAAAAAAAAAGTGCCTTGTTGGCATTTTGTGGTGTCGAGAGGCAATTGCAATCCTATTTGGGCATGCGTCAATTGCTCAAGTATTTTCATTATTCGCGGCAGGGCTGCATCCCCCTTCACTCTACCTATTTTGATAACCTCTCGCAACAGAAAAAAAAATGCTCACAAAATAACTTACCTTGTGAACACGCGAGTGATTTTCATGTCATCAAAATGTTTTGCTTTAGCTTTGTTGTTTTAACCCGAGTAACCCAAAAAAAAATGCTGCAAAAGATAAGTAAAAAAAGACATCTGTACACGTCAAATGACACCAACTTTACATTTACATTTTTTTTGAGGTTTAGAAATGTAATGTGTCTGTATTGATAAAGCAAGGCGGAGAAAGTGCAGAGATGTTTTTTCAAATGTAGGGAGAAAATATTATTAGACTGAGTATTTATACTTACTATTTCCCGCCAGTGGGTGTTGCATAACTTTGAAAGCCGCACGGCTAGAAATGACCAAAATCAACACTTGGAGCCTACTCTGTTGCAGTCTCCGCTTTGCTGCAGCGCCTGCATTCTCCTCGTCAATGAACTTGTTAACCTTTTTGTCAGCTATTGATTCTTCCCTCCGTCCAGTTTTGAAGTGGCAAAGCGGCAACGCTGAGTAAATTGCAACCAGTCGGAATTATATTGTCATCAGATCCAAAAATGTACCCGGGGAAATCAAATAGCAAACGCATATTTTCGTCAGTGCTTGTTAATGGCCAATGAAAAAAAATCAGCAAATCAGTTTGTGATTGTGCTATGGAAATTTACCCTACTGTGGCTCAGTGTTAATTCACTTACTCACTTTTTGGGCAATTACTGTGCCATATCAAATATAAAATACATACCAGTGGGAACAAAATTATGGACTGGAGGACCGTCATATGCTAATTTGCTAGCATTGTTTTGTAGGGATCAAGCTCACTAGCCCAACACCAGCTAGCTTAGAACGGCTACAACCATGTCCATTACGGGTGCTTTCGTAAATTCACTCTGACACCCTTATGGGTTCCCATTCCCATTAATTTCCAAATGCAAGATATTTTATAAACCAATCGGTGGCTTGTGCTTGAACTTTTTACGCCGTCACTGCCTGACACACTTTGTCGCCGCATGTCCCCAATTGAAGCACCAACTGGGCGCTCCCGCACTCCTTTTTTGAGGCTGGGGCTCCCTGAGTAACCAAATAGCACATTTGAACAGTCTCTGAATTTTCGAACGGTCGGAGTGAAGCAGTCACCCCAAAACAACAGACACACATTGCGAGTATTCACCGGTGCTCTCTAAAGGATCCAGATACCGTCTTCTTTGGTAGTTTGACGATTCTAGTGCTAACTTGCTAACATGCTAATGGACGCTGCTATAATGTGCTGCTGCTTCGCTTGCATGGTGCTCTGCTCAACCCGTAAGCCTTTTCGACTGCAGGAAATGAATGGTTTCTCAGTCGGTTAGCCGAGTAGTGAGTTCATTGAGCATTGCATGGGGTAAACGGTCGAGCCGCTTTTCCAGTGGTGGGAAAAGGCTTAAAGGGTTCATAGCTCTGCATGAGTGGTGTTGTTTTAATCCGGTCCATTATTTGTATTTTTGTTGAATTTAATCTTGTGTACATGGGGAAAGATGTCGCACACTGCTGTTTGTGATCCGAAGCTGGGCTTCTTGATGAATTTGTGGCGGCGGGCCATCCTCTGGCTCAAAGTGTCCTTCCGGCGAGAAAAGAGTGAACTCACCCTGGCCCCAGCCAGTTTTACATTCTTTGTTTTTTGTTTTTTTTCTTTCCCTCCAGATTAATTGAAGGTCCTTCCAAAACAAATCTGCCTTTTTAATCCTCACCCTGCACTCAGAACATTTTTTAATAGAAAGTAGATCAGTGAGAATTCAGTCAAAAATATCTTCAAAGTAAACATTGTATTCATTTGTGCATTGTTGCTATTATCGACATATTTCTCGAGTCTTTTGCAAAAAAAAAAAAAACAAGCATGCTAATGTATTTAGTCATAAGCCTGATAGATAACCAATTGAATCGACATACTCGTTATTAACAACGCATGCAAAAGGGTGACTAGCCAAACAGCAGTGTGTGACCATCCATACGGTTCTTGAGTCGCATGTTTTCTTTCTTGAGCTCGTCCATCAACAAAAGTTCAATGGAAGGCTGTACGCCCATTGAAATAAACGAGGAAACTTCCTCATTACTCCACTGACCACCGTCTGCAATAACTCATTTAGAAGCTTAACTTTTACTAAAAGCTTAACTCCCCCCCCCCCCAAAAAAATGTGTCAGGTTTTAATGGCAGATGACCACATTCCAGATGCCGTTGATAGTTGTGATGGCTAAAAAGAAATTTTGCACCTTTTATTGAATCCCATTCAGTTGTGACCCAGGCATCAAAAGTATTTTATTTTTTTGCACCAATGGGGTTAATAAATGGTAAACATGTGAGTATGAAATTAGGAAAAGACACACCAAAAACTTTTTTAAGCCATTTTTAATCGTTTATTTCTGTTTTCGTGTCATTCAGCAAATCCGCCAGCTTCAACTAAAATATATTTTGTTCGTGTGGACCTGGCCTGACATTCATTTACTTCAGACATGCATTCGTATTCCTCGTACGTGCAAGAAAGAGGAAAGAAAAGGAGCATAATCACGGCGGCGCGAACATGACAGGCTTCTTTCAGGTGCTTATGACCTTGACCTCTGACGGGAAAGATTAAATGAACTCGCCGGTTCATGCAACGCCTCTCCCGGATTTAAAATGCATCACCTCTTTTTTTCATTTCTCCAAACAAAAGAAGGGAAGAGAGAAGAATGAAAGCACAAAAGGAAGTTGAGAGAACGAATCCCGAGGTGTGAGATTTAAAGATTTAGCGCACAAGAGACCGAGGAAGATGAGCTGCCGAAATTTCTTTGGCAGGCTTCAACTCCGTGTTTAATGTTCAGACGCTCTGGAAGCTGCACTTGGAGATTCTTATTCCAGCCAGCTGCCGTCGGGATCATCTGACTGCAATGGGGGGAAAAAAAATGAATGAAATTTTTTAGGAAAATGCTCAGTGATTAAACGACCGAATTTTGAATCTGAATCTAGAGATGTTTTACTTATTTTGTGTCAGGAAAAAAAACAAACCTCCTTTTGGGGAAAAGTTTCATATTAGGTGAGGAGAGCAGTAGAGT